ATGCACAGAAATGGCATTAGCTTAAGCAGTAGTTGATGATGTTTTGCTGCCATTAGAGGCTTCAGAATGGATACCTAAAATGCAAGCACTGGTAAACTGCATGCATGGGACCTGACTACATTATAAATATACGATACATGTTATCTGAATGGAGGAAGATGTAGCATAAATTGTGAATATATCTGAGAAGACTTGCAACCCCAGAAAATCTGTTTCTGGATGAGATTTTTATTCATTATTAAAGGAAATGTGAGCCAGAGGATGTGCTTACAGTGGGGTGACTTCATTTGCGATAGATGTATGCCTGGCATTTAGATGAATCTGGGAATACAAGGTGACTTTACATCCGTAGATAGATGAAATCAAGTATTTCCTAGAAGTTTATTAGCATGAGGGTCAGTGTTTTAGAATTGAAATCTTTTAAAGAGAGATAATGAACTAAAGTTTACAACTGCATTGCATATAGAGCTTCTTAGGGAGGAAAAATAATAACCTATATGAACCCGTGCTTTGTAATGGCTACATTGACTGTCACTATTTTGCAACTTCTGGCAAGCAAAATTCGTTCACAAAAGAGGTTTGACAACGTTCAGTAAGGAATTACACTATGCCTCTTTCATTCAACAATGAATGGAATTGTAGGTCAAGTGAAAAAAGGTTGTCTCTAACAGGAAGTTGTCTTTAACAGGAAGGCCTCTTAGAACTTTCTAAACCATGAACTTTTATACAAAAGTAAATTTCAGAATAACTATAATATCTACCACATGTTTAATATATGTAATTAAATAGTTCCTGACTTGGCAATTTGGAAAGTAATTTCCCATCCTATTAACATTTTGAAATATTTTTCTTTGGTACTTTTCATCAACACAGAGTGAAAAACAAACCTTGCAAGCCAAGAACCCCACTCAAACCCTAGATCGGTCAATAGATATAATCTTGGAATTCAGTATTTACTGTAAATGTTCCTTATGTAAACATAAGGAAAAACTTTTGCACCGTCAATGTAACAGAGCACTGGAACACACTACCCAGAGAGGTTGTGAAGTCTCCTCTAGAGACATTCAAAACCCATCTGGATGCGTTCCCTTCTCTGGCAGGGAAGTTGGATTAGATGATGCTGTTAAGATTTACCATCCATGTTTCATGTGGGATGAATGAATAAACACTTAGATTATATCAAGGCCAATCAATAATGCAGTGATAATGTTCAATTGGTGTATGGAAATCCAAGGCTAAAATTGGTGTTCCCGTGATTTTTATGTATATGGGAGGAAAAATTCCCCAAAAGAACCCCCAAAACAGAAGGAAGCCCTGGTCTCTGGGACAAGTAGTCAGTGGAGGCAAGGAGTTCTCCTGAGTCATGAGAGGTTCCAATTCATGTACCCATTCTGTCTTCTAGATTAATGACTTGAACTGAAACTCAGAAAATAATGTTGAAAAATTCCAGCTTTTCCTCTCTGTGTGAAACAATATGTTTCTGCAAGCTTGTATTTTGGAGAGATGAGTATAATTTTTCTAAACAATGCTCTTGAGTATCTTATGTGGTTTTGGTAATACTGAAATAATTTCAGCAACATTTTTTATCTCCTCAAACAGTTCCATACCTACATGGCCTCTGTCAGAAACAATGTGGGCACAGGACTACAGCAGGGATTGTCCCGCTGTACTTGGCACTGGTGAGGCTGCACCTCAAATCCTGTGTTCAGTTTTGCACCCCTCAATACAAGAAAGACATTGAGATGCTGAAGCCTGTCCAGAGAAGGGCAACGAAGCTGGTGAAGGGTCTAGAGCAAAAGTCTTATGAGGAGCTGCTGAGGGAACTGGGGTTGTTTAGCCCACAGAAGAGGAGCCTCAGGGGAGACTTTGTCATTCTCTACAATTACCTTAAAGGATGTTGTAGAGAGGTGGGGGTCATCATCATCTCCTGATGCATTAACACAAGAGGAAATACCCTCAAGTTGCACCAAAGGAAATTTAGATTAGATATTAGGAAAAATTTCATCACAGAAGGGATTGTCAAGCATTGGAACATGATGCATGGGACCGTGGTGGAATCACCATGCTTGGAGGTATATAAAAGAAGTGTAGATGTGGCACTTAGAGACATGGTGTAGTAGGACTTGGCAGTGTTAAAGGTTAGACTTGAGCTTAAAGGTCTTTTCTACCCTAAACAATTCTACAATTGTATGATTGTATGATTCTATGGCTAGTGCCTACAGTGTGAAAAAAAGCCAGTGTAGTAGGAACACAGAGACCCAGTTTGAGAATTCAATGTTGTTATCTGTTTCATCAGATCTCAAAATGTTTTTTTAAACTCCTCAAACCTAAGAACTTGTTTATAAGAATATATTTCACTTACCTACAGACAAATGAAAGATTGTTCCACAACACATAGGAGAACATTCCCAATTACATTGTTATTAAACATATATTAGTATTATATTAAATTGTTCAGAAAATTTGTTACTCTGTGATTTCTTCAAGCTATGAAAAATGAAAAAAGAAATAAAGAATGTTTCAAATATTGCAGATGACCTTAGTTCAGACACCTGTGTTAAGGTGATGCTTGTGTCTCATCACATCTAGAAGCATGGTGTGGTGACGTTTTCTAAATTCTTATTACACCTGTGTTGTTCTTTCTGAAGTACACTGGATGAAAGTCACTTCAATAAACACATTAGAGAGAAAATCCTTGCAATATGTTACTGATATATATTTATGATTTTAGGGGAGATAGTAGCTGAACTAAAATATTTTGAGACACATCTACTTCCTTCACTGAGAGTAAATCTGGATTGCAGTCTGAATAAATGCACGTAGGGTTTTTGCTACAGACACTGTATATATGGGGCTGCACTGATTTTTTTTTTAATTCATAGGAACGATATGAGGTAGTTGATTTTATATTTAGCATATGGTGAACATTTTTTTTTCTTATGAAACAATTACAAAACTACCTCACTGGGGGATCTAAGATCAAAATTTCTTCTGTTTTGTGCTTTCAAACTTGTGTCTAGGTGGATTTATTGTCTTTGAATAACTGTTTCTCATTAATTTCTTACAGGAATTAAAAATAGTTTAAAGGCACTTTATGGGTCAGATACTTGGCTTGTCTAAATACAAAATTAATTTTATTTGGGTAGCACTTGAGAGAGGATTCAGTGTTCATTGGGCTAAAGCTAATTTGGAAAAGTATTTGAAAAAGGTACAAACCTTGGATTGTGACTGAGATTTAAAGCCTATATCTAAGATTACTCAAAGAATTTGGTAGATTAGAGAATCTATATTTCATTGACAGTCATATTTTACCTAGCTGATTATGTACTGAATACATGTAATTGAATGCACTCATGCAATACATAACACAGTAACTTGTGTAAAACTGTGTTTGAGATGGAGGCTTTGCGTGGAGGTGAATTCTCAGCTACTGCTTTTCTCATTTTGACTCACTAAACACCATTGCTGCATATATAACTGCAAAATTTCCAGAAATTTTCTTTAGAAAATCTGTATTCTGTTTGTATCAAGATGACAAGCAAACCAGTGCACAGAACTCAAAACTGTATATATATTAACAAATCGTACTTTAGTAGTAATTAACAACATTCTGCCTTACAGTCATGTAATGAGATTTACCTGAAGCCATGAATTTTAAGAGATATAGGGATATTTTAAATAGTAGAATAGAAGGAAGTAATGAAATTATTTTAGCTAAAGATGTCTTTGTTACATGTTCAGACTTCATAAATTCGTAGACAAAAAAATAATAAAGTAAACTGCTCTTCTTCAGTATGTCTTGAAAAAACATTTCCAAGTAGACTATTCAGGAAAAATATGATTGGAGTGGGGATTTAGACAATTTGATTTCTTTATTAGCCATATTTAATTTCTAATCTAAATTAGAAATTGAGTTTCCTGTTCATGTTTCACTCGTTATTAAGTAACCTTTTATATTACAGAGGGTTACTTGCTACTGGAATAAACACAGCATAATGAACCACTGGGTGCAAGGATAGTTTGGTGTCTTTTTTTTTTTAAAAAAAAAGTCAGAAAACTAAAGTATTGCCCAAGGAAATAAACTATATTTATTTCCTCTTTCTCCCATTAGCACAGGCTATAGCATGTATGGATGTGCGTCTGTCTGTGTGTGCGCATGTATACAACTCAAAAGTATTTTGAGAAAACATATTAAAATTGAATGTATTAAAATTAAAGTGTATTCTTTACTAAAACTCCTAATAACTAAGTACAAGTTTTTATCATGGTAAGTAACTGTTTCAGTTAATTTCTAGGTTTTTCTAAAGAGCATGACCTGTTATAATATGAACCAAGGCTACTTTTGGACCAATTTCATATCTGGAATTGACTCATCTCTGATTCACCTTTGTTTACAGTCTATTGATTTAAATATATTTTTGCTCATATGGGAGACAAGTTTAAATATTAAAGAGGCCTTTGTGGTTTATCTTGGTCCATTCAAGTTGTGTAAGACTCAATTATAATTTTATTTGCATTGGTTCCGTCCTAAATTCAGGTTGTGGCTAATTCTTAATACATCCTAAGGAAAGTGAATAAAATGTCATTGAAGATAGTGACTAAAGGCATTATTTCTCTTCAAGGTTTCAGAACATAATGAAATAAATTACATTTCTTATGTAAAAATTATAATATGGTAATTTTTAAATATACTTTTTTGTTTATATTTTTCTTTTTTAATAGCACATTAATTTTGTTTTTGCAGAAATCACTTTTAACTGAAGTAACTGCATTGTCACAGAATATGATACATTTTTTCAAATATTTTCAATTTGTTCTTCTTGACATTTTATGTTTATGTGCAGTTTGCATCTTTTTGTTTTTCAATTTCAAATGTAACAGATTTTGACATTTTTGTTACATTTTTTTGTACTGGTGGTTTTTTTTATTTTTGAGAACCTACTGTTTTTGAATTCTCTTTTTTTCCCTTTATTCTCCTCCTCACTATGATCCCAGGAGCCAACACAAAGAAAATCGCAGATGATATAACCAGTAATGATCGTGGTGAAGATGAAGGTATTTTTTGTTTTTTCAAAGCTCAACCCTGATGCATGAACATGAACTTTTTAATTTTTGTAATAATAATAATAATAATTGTTATTGTTATTGCTGTTATTTCAACATGATTTTTAGACCCTTATTTGTAGAAGCACACTTCAGTGTACTTCTTTATTTTCTTCTTTAGAAATTGCTTCCATTGTTTTTCTTTTTAAAATCCAAATTAGCCTATAGATGACTGCAGTTCCTCTGTGACATACATGGAAAGGTTATTCCTAAATATGTGTGAATAAATATTATTTGAAACTACATACTTTTTCCCCCTCTGTTCTTTCTTAGGTTGAGAAAATGGAATTAAAAAACATGCATGTACTCTTTTCCCTCTTACACATTTTGTAAATTCACCTGTTTGAAAGTCATGAAGAAAGTCACTCCTTCCTTTCACTTCCACTGTTTCCCCAGTGCACATGCTATACATTGATGCAGTTGAATTGTGCTTTGTCTTTGCTATTTTTATTTACTTATTTAATTTTTTTTCTCACAGGATGTGGTTTATTTCAGGACACAAAAATAAAAGAAGCTGTTGATGTTGCTGTATTGTTTTTTTCTTTCAATCAGCTAGCCTCTGAGATACATTCGTTCTGACTATGACCATATTCCCACTGAAATCAATGGCAATCATTTTCATTGACTTTTTTTGGAGTTGGATTGGATTCCCTTAAAGGGAATGTTAAAGTTCACAGTGAAGTACTCTTTCAGAAAGAGTTTTACAAGGAAATACTTTTTCCTTGTCTTGGTACAGCAAAGCTATTTAGGATGCACTGAAATAGAAAGAAGTCATGAAATTTTCCTCTACTCTCACCCTTTCTTTTCATTAAAGATACAGTAACAGTTTCTTTTGCTTTTTAATTAACCAAATTAAGAAAAATATTTTCAAATTAATTGAGAAGATAGCAACCTTGAGTAGTTTATTAGTCTGGTTTTGGAGCAATGTATTTCTGAATTCTCTCATGCTCGTCTCATCCGAAGTGTTTCCCATGTCTTTTTTTCCTGTTTTCTTCTATCTGACATCAGTTCAAATAACTCAAGTGTTTGTCCTCTGTGTTCCCCTTAGAATCACGCATACTGCAATGAGGACACTATAAAAAAGGGATTTCAGCTCAATTGTAGCTACTCTATCCATATATAAAATACCATAATAAAAATCTCTGACCTTTGATTCATATTGGTTGTCCTCTACTGTGCCACCTTCATTGCTGAATTACACTATTTCTTATGACACAAAAGTGTATCACCGTTTTTTTTACCAAATCCTGTAGTTAATTTTAAAGCAAAAGTTAAGTAACAAGCAAAATCAAAATTGCTTTAAAATCTTAAGATAGATATTGGACTATGAATACATTATTATTACAACTTCTCAAAAAATTATAAATTGTTACAGATTCATGATTAGCAAAGGCATCCACTTTAGATCTAAGAACATAAAGCATGGAGCTCACTTCCTTTATGGTGAAGCTATTCTTGTTCCCATTGAAGGGGAAGAGGAAACTTCCCATTGACTTCAGCAGTGAAAGATTCAACCCTGAGGTGCAACTAGGTAATAAGGAAAGATTAAATACAACAAATTATGCCATGAGACTTTGGAGAGAAAAGGGAAAGGTAATTCAGTAACACAAATAATTGTGTTAAATAATTGTTGGTTTTATTTTTTGAGGGCTTAGCTGTGTTTTCACAACACTTTCATGTATGAAGAAACACTTTCATGTACTTTGCTGAAAATGCTGAGTATAAAAATACAAACATCCACTAGAATGTACCTCATTGCTTTATACAGTCTGTTTAATAGCTGCATTGTTCTTATATACACAATTAAAAAAATCTTATCACAAAAACTTTTGTTCTGCTGCTCAAGGACAACACATAAAACATGTTTACAGTACATATCTTCTGATGTGAAGAAGGCATATTCCATGACAAGCCTTAAAGTGACAACTAAGCAGATGTATATTGGAGTCTGAATATAGGAACATAGGAATATGACCAGTCAAAATTTACCTTTAAATATTAGTTCAGCATAAACAAGTTATTATATATGTTGTATCTCATTGCTGATCACATTTTTGGTATCTTAGAGTATTACTAATAAACCTGAGGAGAGGGAATTTTGGAAGGTTTCAAACCTGGGTCCCCTGCCTCTAGGTATTTAGCTCAGCTTTTTCTTCCTTCACTTTCCTTTTCCACTGTTCTTTATATACCTATATTACCCAAAAGAGAACACAATTTTTTAGTTTTGTTTTTGTTTCAATCTTGATTGAGTCATCAGACTCTACTTTCTCTTCTGTGTTGTACTATCATTGAAAGATGTGCTCCTATTCCACATGCAGATACACTGAATTATTTGTGAAAGCTGTGTAAATCTAAAGGCATCTTGCTGAATTGCCTTCTCCTTTTAAAGAAGGCCCTCTTTCTTTAAAGATCATAAATATGTAATTGAAGTAGTTTGAACCATATCTGAGATCAGGAGACTAGCTTTTTTGGTTATTAGAGGAAGAAAGATTAATCCAGTCCTAGATATATCTCAAGTCATTGATCTTTATAACTCACTCTGAAGTATGACAATATTTCTATTCATTTCATTTAATTTTCTTTTAACAATGAAGATCCATCTGTTTAACTCTTTGAAAGTACTCAAGATCATCCATACCACAGAAAAGAACAACAAAAATAATGATTTAAATACAGAAAATATGGACCATAGATTCACATAAATTCCCTCTGTTTGTTAACTCCTAGGCTTTTTGAATGAAGGAACAGTTTACTATGCTGACTTGTATAAGAAAAAAATTAATTTTGCAATATGTCTTACTGAACTCTTGGGAATATAATTTCAACAATTATGTCTCAATGAGGAATGTGAAAGTATGGATCATTATTGTAATTTTATTATTAGATATGCAGGTATTTTAAAATTGAGATATACTTGAATCAGAATATTTTTTTAAAAAGACAAGATTATTCCATAATTTGCTTTTTTGCTTTAGGCTTTTAGACATTTATATTCAAATTAAATTCCTTGTAATATTGAAAGCATTTCAAGTGTTCTGTGAACATTTCAGAAGAAAATAGTATTTGAAGTAAAAAAGAGAGATATTTAAACTGTAAATATTAGGCTTGTAGAGTGGTCCTGAACTGCAAAAGCTGGCTGATGAAAGTCGTGGTGCTAACATTAAAACATAGAAAATAATTAAGACTATTTTTATCACTGTTATAAATTGCTAGTACCATATTTCTCTTTTTTTTATTACTTTATTATGTTTTCCTTACTTGAATTTTTTCAGACATTCATGATCAGAACAGCAAGAAACCCGTTATGGTCTACATCCATGGTGGATCTTATATGGAGGGCACTGGCAATATGATTGATGGCAGCATTCTCGCAAGTTATGGAAATGTCATTGTTGTCACTCTCAATTACAGGCTGGGGGTTTTAGGTAAGTGACCCTTTTCTTCATCACCAATTGCATAGAAACATCTGATTGCTTAATTTATCTACTGCTTGATCATAGATTCTTGGGCCAGTTTTCTTTTTAAAACAGAACATTGTTGCTGGTGGATTTTGAATTCTGTTCAATATTTTGTGGAAAATGGGCTATTTATAATGATGTTAGAAATGGTTAAGTCAAATTTGCCATCAGAAAATAATTGCTCTTGCCCTAGTCATTTAATATGTTTTGAGAACTTGCATTTTTTTTAATTAAAATCTTCTTCATTCCATGTTATAAAAGAAAGGAAGAAAATTAATCAAGAATGAGTACTCAGCAATTTCAAAATAGTTCATAAAGGTTGGAAGAGGGAAAATGTTACTATTTATCTGTATTTATTATTTTTGTGTGCAAATAGGTTTTTAGAGCAGAAGATGTAGAGATAATACTGATGAAACAAGCTGTATACACTGATGTGATTTATGTTGCAGGTAATATGGAGTCCAGGGGTTTCAAGGAATAATGTGATATTATCTTCCTGTATATAAGGAACTCCATAATAATCAATTATAATATTGAGATAAATTAATACTTTTATCTTTCAAACAGTAGAAGAGCTGCATATTCTTCACATTGGAAATATTCTTCTGTCAACATTAGTTTGAATAACAAAATAACCTTAGATCCATGACAGTAGACCAAAAATCTTTTCTGCCTTCTCTGTGATTCCATCTCCTGGATGTTTGCGTGTACCAAGTTTCTCTCCAAATGAAGGTTTATTTACTGCAGTTCTACCTTTACATAGAAAATTAAGCTAAAAAATTGCTTATAAGATCAGGCATTGGAAATTATTTTTTATCATAATGAAAAAACACATAGTTTATATAGAATAGCATGTTGACTGGCATTCAAGGTACACAAGGCAAGGTATAGTAATTTTGTTTGTGGGTTGTTTTCTTTTTATTTAGAATGGCTTTTACAAATATTTTTAATCTTGTTTCTATTCATAGCAAAGCTCATCTATATTCTTGGCATGTACTGTTTTGGAAAACAGGAAACTTCTATTACTGAGTTGTGTATTAATATGGTTAGTGTGTCTCAACAATATTCTAGCTCATCAGAGTACTGAGAATCTTTTTCTTGTCCCTGATTTTGAATCTTGTTTAAGTACAAAACAGCATTTCTTCTATGGCAGAGTAAAATTTAAACAAAAAGTCAGAAACATAAAAAGGTATTGTGGTATATTTATGCATGCAAAAAAAAAAAGGAGTAAAAAAAAGGGGAAGTAAAAATATAAGCAAACGGCTGAAAACTCTTAAAAGAAATAATATTGTTGTTGTTGACAAATACAGTGTATACCCAGGAACTTGGTAATCATTATTTTTCCTGTAAAATGGTTCTTTAATAAACTCTTAAAATGTTTTCTTAGTTTCTTAAAATTAGCATTGTTGAGGATACAGATGATTTTAAGTAGTTTACAACATTTCATTGTCCCGCCTGCCTTATATATCAGTTTAAAGGAAAAAATGCAATATTTGCATTAATGAACTCCTATTTTTATGTATTTATATTGAAAAAAAACCCCAAAACAACAAAAAAAGGAGAAAGAGATAGAATGCTATATTTTTATATTGTATTTAAGAAAAGAGGCACAATACAGAGGCATTCATATAAGAAACTGAGAATTAATAACTGTGAGGATTTTAAATGGATTAGGAAAAATACACTTATATTTGGCATTAAATACTGCTTCTCAGGAGTGGCAAACATTAACTTTTGAGACCCTATAGAATTTATTCTTTGTTATCAAAAAATCTATGTTTGAATTTAAAAAGCAAGATGCTCAGAATATGAGTGCATCACATCAAAAATCAGAGAATTTAAGTTTTATGTGGATATTTCTAATTTTTCTTCCTGAGTGCAGTGTCATCCTTGAGAACTCACTAGGTTCTTCCTAGACATTGGAAGCTCTTAGGTGAGTTCCGTGTATTTTTCACTTGCTTCCTAAGTGAAAAACTGAGAGACAAGACAAACTTCTTCAGTTAAACAACATATGAAAACCAAACATGATTATTCATAAAAGTTTAAAAAGTAGTTTAATTATTACGACATACCATTTCTAGATTGACATTTTTATCCATTTCTTCTAGTCTGTTTTATCTACTTTTTGAAAGATACATTTATTTGCAATTCTGTTGTATTTCAGTTGCATTTCAATTGTAAATTTATACATATGAGAACATATACAAACCTGATTTTAATGACAGAGATGTGTAATTCTGTCACTATTATCATGCTATATAGTGGAGGAAAATGCATTAAATTGATCACAATTATGAGTATCTGAAGATTCTTTTTATATATATATCTCCTTCCTCTGGAAAATTGTTACTTGAATGGATCTGAACACTGGATGTTATACTTATCATAAATGTTAGTTAGGTATATAAATTGTTTTCCTTTCAGTCTGTATTGTGTCAGTAGCAGCAGTAGATAGAACACCTATTAGGACTGCATAAATAATCACTGGTTGATATTAGACAGATAAATTGTAGAATTATAAAATGGTTTGCGTTGGAAGGAATCTTCCAAGATTATCTGTTTCAACCTCTCCCACTAGGGAAAAGTGCATCTGCCACTACATCAGGTTGCTCAAAGCTCCATCCAACCTGATCTTGAATGCCTCCAGTCATGGGGCTTCGACACCTTTCCTGGGCCACCTGTTCCACTGTCTCACCACACTCATCATAAGCAATTTCTTCCTCCATTCAATCTAAATCTGCCCTCTTCCAGTTTAAAATTTCTGCCCCTTGTCCTGTCACTAGAGAACTTGATAAAAAGTCTCTCACCATCTTTCTTTTAAGCCACATTTATATATTGAAAGGCTCAAATAAGTTCTCCCGGGAGATGTGATGAAGCCATGTTGCTGTCTCTATTCAACTTTCTGTCTTCCATATGCTTCAATATAACGTCCCTGAGGTTCTGTTTCACGATCTTACTATGCACGGAGTTGCATGTGACAGGGCACTTTTTCTCAGAGTCTTCATGACTTGAAAAGACCTAGTTTTAACAAAAAAACACTGCACCCTTTAATTTTTAAGCCCAGGTTTTACCAGGCAGTATAAAGACAGAATTTCTTCATCTTTTTGGGGGGCAGAATTCTGATTGCCTGTTGGCTGTAGCAGAGAAACTGAAAATTCTAGTCTCAGGTTAACCAGAAAGCAGGCATCTGAGACCAAGAAAAGGCATTGCTTGCAGTAGCTGTAACATGGTGAACTTCAGGGCTATAAAATGTTTTAACTGGATGATAAAGGCAAATATCTTAATCTCTAGCTTTTCTTCTTGCCTCTGGCTAGAATATAAGCCTTTATATTGTGTAGTGAACTCCAGAATATGGAAGAACCACATTTCCTCTCTGTCCTGGAGTACTGCAGAGCTGTTCTGGGAATAAGTACCTCATGTCTCTCTATGTTCAAGTAGCACCATGGCAAGATAACAGACAGCTGAGCCCAAGACTTCTCAACTTTTTAGTTATCCCCCTTTATCCTTGGAATAAAAGTACTTCTGGAATTATTCTTCCTGAGATTTCTAGATCCCAAATCATCCATAGTAATATGGGTTGCTGATGTTATTTAGAACATATTTTCCCTTTGAGTGTAAATTTGCATATATATTCCGTGGATAGGATCCTTTTGGGACAATAAGATAGAAAGATTGAACTTTTCCTCTTGCTTATGGTATTGGGTCCTATTAGAAAAGTGAAGTACTGCCGTGCTGTCTTTAATTTCATGTCTACTTTAGGGCTTGAGAGAATCCTGGCTCTTCCCAGTTCAGCAGTTTCTGTTCCTGCTTAAACCTCGCCACAGTGACGACTGACAAAACTGCTGGAGCTCAAGGAAATTGCTAACTTGTCCCAGTGCAAGGAAGTGCTCCCATATCTTGATAAATTTAATACTGTAACACAGAGAAGTGCTAAATCCCACTGCCTGCTCGACCCCACCTCAGGCTTTGAGCACTGTGTAGGATGATAGAATTTTTTATAATGAGTTTAAGTTATTCAGCAGTTGAGTTGAGTTTTCAAAATTCCCAAACTGTTTAGGAAATTATTTAACTGATATAATGGAAATTCAGAAGAGCAGGAGGATTAGGCAAAATAGATAGCCTAATTCAAATAATGTTCTAGTATTACAGAAAATGAGATGGTGTGAAAAACCTGACTCAGTCTAGATACTGCTCAATTCCTCTTCATGATTTGCATTCTTAGTCTTTGAGGATATGCTTTCAGAAAAAATAATATCTTTTTAACATAGCTATAAACACCCATTTAGTGCATTGTTTGGATTATCTTGGCAAGAAAAATAAAGAAGAGGGATTTATGTTTGTTATTGTTTTACAGTGACATGAAGTGAGTTGTAAGTCTCATAGTGAGACTTCAATATGCTGAATCCCTGTTTAGCTTGTGTAACAGTAAAAATTAAACCTGACGAATCACTCTCCCTCCAAGAAAAACCCCAAACCAAAACAATAAAATAAAAGTCCCAAAGCCCTTGCATAATTTTTATATGCAGTTGAATTCAGTCATGATGGTATACACTTTGCAGAAAAGAATCTTAAGCAATCTTCAAAAATCTTATCATATTCAAATAGGTACTTGGTGTTCTTGTGTGACCTATTAAAGGCAAAATCAGGGATGAATTCTAGAAATATGAATCAGGCATATTGAAAGCCAGAATGTTATTACAGAAAAAAGGGAAAAGGCAAAGCCTGAGATGAATTCTAGAAATATGAATAGGGTATTTTGGAAGCCAGGGTTAAATGAAACATGTGCTGCAGTAAATGAGATACTCTTGGAATGCAAAATTGTAGAACTGACTTAGCATTTCTGAGACCACTTGCATTTTAACATTTTATTCCTCTTAAAATGCCAAATCATGCAGATACAAATAGTGTATCTCTTATCTATCTCCCTTTTTTGCAGTAAGCGTACATTTTAACTACTCTATCTAAAA